TTTTGGTGGATCTGAACTGTGCCAATCTACAAGTAATCCCCAGAGATTTATAAAAGCAAGGGACAGCCCTAGCCGGTTTGGCTCAGTGGATAGAGTGTCGGCCTGTGGACTGAAGGGTCCTGGGTTCGATTCCAGTCAAGGGCACATGCCCAGGTTGTGGGCTCCATCCCCAGTGTGGGGTGTATAGGAGGCAGCCGATCAGTGATTCCCTCTCATCATTGATGTTTCTCTCTCTCTCCCTCTCCCTTCCTCTCTGAAATCAATAAAAAATATATTTAAAAAGAAAGAAATAAAGTGAGTCTGGGACAGAGAAACAATTGGAGATGTCAGGCTGGCTCCCTGGGCCACCTCTAAAGAGGTGAGGCTTTTTGGTGGATCTGAACTGTGCCAATCTACAAGAAATCCCCAGAGGTTTATAAAAGCAAGGGACAGCCCTAGCCGGTTTTGGCTCAGTGGATAGAGCGTTGGCCTGGGAACTGAAGGGTCCCAGGTTTAATTCCAGTCAAGGGCATGTACCTTGGTTGCGGGCACATCCCCAGTAGGGGGTGTACAGGAGGCAGCTGGTCAATGTTTCTCAACAATCGATGTTTCTAACTCTCTATCCCTCTCCCTTCCTCTCTGTAAAAAATCAATAAAATATAAAAAAAAAGACTTTTATAACATGTGCTCAGTTCACGTCTCTTTGCTTTATCCCCAGGACGACTGAGGTTCCTGGGAGAAGCGGGGTCCCCGGGGCTCACCCGCGCTGAGAATGTCTTCCATCGACTTCCATTCTGGAGTTCAAGGAGGAGCCCCGCAGCCTTACTCGCCTTGAACAGGCCGTGCTCAGACCAGATCCACAACCACACCCTTAGCAGCAGGGCCCCCTGCCCTGGCTCCCCAGGGGCCCTCCCTGAGTGGGAGTGGAGCCTCCTAGTGTCATGACAACCACGCCCTGATGGCAGCGGTGTCTCTGGAGGCCGGCGGTGAGCGAGTGCCCCGGAGCAGGCAGAGGAAGTGGGCTTGGTCTTGGTGCAGAATCGGGGGACATCCCTCTTGTATATGCAAAGCGGCTCAGAGTGGGAGCCGGCAGTGTCCTTCCTCTGCCCTGGTCTTTTCCGCTTTCCTCCCTCGCCTGCCTGCCCTCCCTGGTGCTTGGGGCTGCGATCTCTGCTCTCCTGCTCAGTCCTCCTGTCCCCTGCGCCCCTTTCTCTCCCAGTAGCTGCCAGTTCTGTATTCCCCCCCGGATTCTCTGCCACCTTGGGGGTTCCTGCCTCCTGGCCTCCCTGGCTGCTTGCCCGGGGATGCTGTGCCCAGGTGTGCCTGGCTGGTCCCCACCTCTCAGACACACTCTGCCAGGACCTATTTTGATAGCACCTTTTTTTCTTTTTCAAACAAAGCATTTTTATTTTTTTATTTCAGAGAGGAAGAGAGAGGGAGAGAGAGATAGAAACATCAATGATGAGAGAGAATCATTCATCAGCTGCCTCCTGCACGCCCCCTACTGGGGATCCAGCCTGCAACCCGGGCATGTGCCCTGACCGGGAGTCCAACAGTGACCTCCTGGTTCATAGGTCGATGCTCAACCACTGAGCCACGCCGGCCGGGCGATAGCACCTTTTTTGTTGTTGTTCTGTACCTTGGGACCTTCTTTATAAACGAGTAAATCTTCAGAAAAGGATTCTTCTACCCGGACCAGGTTATTATCAGGTGTAAACAGTGTTCCATCTGAGCGAGGTCCCTATAACCAGGAAGCCAGTACGTTTTGGCCGTGACCGTTGCCTGGCTGGGTCGTGTGCCCTCCCCCAGGCCCGTGAAGAGATCTGGAATTGGAATGTACGTGTCCTGAGAATAAGTACAGTCTTGGTGACATGTGGATCCTTCCTGGCTCAGAGAAAAGGGATAGGTGGGTGGGTAGTGGTGGTGGTGAACTCACAATTACCGAGTCCCCTAATGTGTCCAACACCGACTGGGTGCTTTTGTGATAATAATTATAGCCACTGACTGTTGAGTGCTTCCTGGTGCTGGTACTTGTGCTAAGTACTTGCAATGTCTTACTTAAGCGTCGCAACAATCCCGTGAGGCACATGGGATTATTATCTCCATTTTCCCCCATGAGATTAAAGCTCAAGGGCTCCATCGATAGTGGCTCTATAGAGGAGACAGCCCCAGAAATCAGATTTCCAAGTCCAGGTTCTTAACGACTGGATGATTTTGATACTACAGAGGAGAAAGGAAGTCTCAGAGATGTTAAGCAACTTGCCCAGAGTCACACAGCTAATAAGCGGAAGAGCCAGAATTCAAATCCAGACCTGTGCAAAGCAAAGCTATGCTCCTTCCCCGTCCTCTGCGTCCTTAACCTACAGAAGAGCCTTGGACACAGGCTGGCCCTGTGAGATAGGGTTATATTCCCAGATTTTAGGGAACTTACCTACACCCCTGACTGCTGACCTATCTGCCCAGGCTGAGATCGGCCCTATTGGTATCAGCAGATGAGCAGGTAAGATTGTGATTCCAGGATTATCATCATTTGCCTTCCTGCGTGTTCGAGCCTGGGCTCAGCCATACGGCTGTGAGGTTGGGACTCGCACTTCTGTTAGGGCACCGGAAGTCACCGGTCACTGGACTGCTCATGGGTCTCTTCTGTTCTTGCTGCCCTTTTCAAGTTCAGATCCTGGCCGTCGCTCTCCTCAGCTGCCGTAGAAGCCACCTCCTGGGTGTCCTGAATGGAGCTGGCTTACTGTGGAGCCTGCTGGGACCCCAGCCAGGGTGGTGGTCAGGAACGTGGTTAAGCAGGAGGACTGGGGACGCTGGCTGGGGGTAGAGGCACCCAGTGAGAGGCCGCTATGGCTGGAGCTCAGAGAATGGGTGGTGGTGGAGGTGTGTTTGACATGAGGTTGGAGATGATCGGACTTTATCCTTCACATCTGGAGGCCGGTGATCCCAGGGAGAAGGGTGAGGCCTCATTTGTATATTTCAAAGATCACTTGAGCCCTAGCCGCTTTGGCTCCGTGGATAGAGCATCGGCCTGCAGACCAAAGGGTCCTGGGTTCGATTCCAGTCAAGGGCATGTACTTTGGTTGCAGGTTCCTCCCTGGCCCAGGCCCTAGTCAGGGCTTGTGCAGGAGGCAACCAATCGATGTGTTTTCTCTCACATTGATGTTTCTCTCTGTCTTTCCCGCTCTCTCCCATTCTCCCTAAAAATCAGTGGAGAAATATCCTCAGAGGAGGATTAACAGCAACAAAAACCAAGATCACTTGAGGATAGAGAAACTGCAGGCCATGAGCCCAATTGGAAGACTCCTGGAAGTGAAATAAGCAAAATGGCTCCTAATGTGGCAAGAAAGTAGCTTTTCTCCTTCTACATAAAGTTTTTTCTCTAATTGTTCTCATCTTCTCGTGAATACTTTAGTCAGCTCAATTTGATGGGGATGACATTTGTTTTTTATCTCTCTTTTTTTCATCTTTATTGTTGAAAGTATTACATATGACCCCCTTCCCCCTCATTGCCCTCTCCTCCCCTTCTCCCCCAAGGCCTTCATCCCCCCAAGCCTTCACCCCGCTATTGTCTGTGTCCATGGGTTATGCACATATGCACACAAGTTCATTGGTTGATCTCCTTCCCCTCCCTCCTCCCCTGCCTGCCCTCTGAGGTTTGACAGTCTGTTCAATGTTTCTTTGTCTCTGGATCTATTTTTGTTCATCAGTTTATGAAATGATCCTTTTTCAATTGTTATATAATCACTTCCCATATTGCTACTGAGTTTTCATAGCCATTGTTGTTGTTTTTTTAAGATCAACTACCATTTAATAGCTCTATCATTGTACAATTTGGGGGTAATTCCTTGGTCCCTGTTTGAGCTTATGTAATTAATGTGTCAAAACTGTTGTGAATTAAATAGCCTCCACCCCCGACCCGTGTTCCTCTCCCCACAATATGTTTGAGTGATTTCTTTAGGGACAGATTTCCAGGAATCAGGTTATTGAGAATCAAGGAATTTTTTGTAAAGGTCTGTTATATAGCCAAATTGCTTTCCATAAGGGTTGTTCTAAACTATAATTTCACCAGTAAAGTAGGAGAGGACTTTTTCATGCTACCCTTGCCAGAAATGGATATGCTGACACTTTTAAAAATTGTATTTAATAAGGTGAAAATATTTTAATTTTGAAGTTAATACTTTATTTTAATTAGCCTTTCCCCCATTAATAGCGAGCTTAAGCATTTTTTTAAAATGTTCATTTCCTAGATGTATTTCCTCTTTTGTTATTCAGTTTCTTTGCCCATTTATCTACGAAAGAAGTAGCTCATTTTGGTTTATCACAGTTATTTCTATTTTAAAATATAAGCATTTGCCATATTTTAACAACTTTTCCATGTTTATTTGTTCATTTTTATTTTTTCCCCATGTTTAAAAATTGGTTTTACAAATATAAAGTCTTTATGTAGAGCTGTTGGCTTGTGATTTTTATTGCTTCTAATATATTCTCTTTTCAGGTGTGACTCAACTTCATTTTCTTCCATTTGGGTTGTTATCTAGTTTCATATTTAAGTCTCTAATCCACTTTACCTCTAATTTGTAGAAGGATATGAAGTGAGATAACTAAATTGCTTAATTTCCAATTGCTAACCAGTTAGCCCAACATATTTATTGAATTTTCCCCCACTGTCAGGTTATCCTGTCTCCCACATCACATAGGAAATTATTTTATCCTAGAGGCCCAGTGCATGAAATTCATGCACAGGTAGGGTCCCTAGGCCTGGCCGGTGATCAGGGCCATTAGGGGCCTTCCGGCTGCCAGCCGGGGCCTTCGTTCTGTGCTGCGCCCTGGTGGTCAGTACACGTCATAGCAAGCAATCAAACTCCCAGTCTCCTGGTCGAACTCCTGAGGGGAAAATTTGCATATTAGCCTTTTATATATATAGTTTCAATTAGCCATTATATTTCAGTAGGTCTACTAAAGGACAATATAACTATCACAGTAGGTTTTGATAGTTGGTAGAGCTAGGTCCCCTCATTCTCAACATTGAAAACATTTTGTCAAGTGTCAGTGCGTATTTACTCTCTTTGGATTTTTTTTGAATTAAAAAACCGTGGCTACAAGAGTAATACATATTTATTAAAGAAAAAAAATTGTATTGATTGATTTTAGAAAGAAACATTCATTTGTTGTGTCTACTATTATTTTTTAAAAAATATATTTTTATTGATTTCAGAGAGGAAGGGAGAGGGAGGGAGCGATAGAAACGTCAATGACGAGACAGAATGATTGATCAGCTGCCTCCTGCACGCCCCACACTGGGGCGCCAGCCTGCAACCCGGGCATGTGAGGGCCGGGCGTGGGTCTAATACATTTTAAAGGTGTTTGAAACATTTCCAGTCATTTGGATAAATGATCCCGTTTGCACCTCGATCTGTAACATAAGAACGTGCTCCACCTCACCCCGACTGTCATTAAACGAAAAACAACAAATTTTACCAATATGGGGTCGCCAGTACCTTTTAAATGGGATTGCATTAGAGAGCTCTTGATTCTACCATGGATGGAATGCCGGAAAAGAAAAAGGAAAAAAAAGACCTTAATGTGCCCCAACTGGGGGAAATGGCTAAATGAGCCTGCATCTCACAGCGGGAAAAGCAGGACGTCATGTCGGGATGCGGACGGTGAGAAAGGGAGGCCCCCGCCGCTTCGCGCAGGCGTTCCTGCGTGGGAACCTGCTTTTCCCACGAGCTCGGTGGGGCAGGCGGGCGGCCTGGGCAAAGGACACGGATCCGGGCCCGCGTCCCGGCCAGGATGACCGCGGAGACGACCCTCCCCAGCTCGGGG